CACATTACGTCATTTAAATACGTGCAAATAACACCGGAGCACCGAGATGCAATCTGCTTGGCAGCGCAGTTAGTGGAGCATTTCACCCTCTGCGTGTGCTTTGTGAATGAGACGGTATCTGTTTGCTCCATTTTTACCAGTTTAGCGGCCGCAAAAGCCACGCAATCCTTTTGTGAATTCGGCCCTCGGTCCATAATTTTTGTCCAAAATTGTTGTACGTCTAAAAGTAAATACAACCTCACATTATGTCCTGTTTGCATACTTATTCCGAAACTGTCATCCGTCAAAAAAAATATTTTATCTTCTGCATTTTTGGCATCAGTCAGAAGCCTTTCGAGACGTCTGACCAAGAATCAATAAAGAAAATGCAGCGGCTGGACACAACCACAACAAGACAGAGGAACGAGGCGCACAGAATCATTTCATAACTCAGATATCTCATGCACAACAGGTCAGTTAGTAATATTCATGTGGACGATGAAGAAGAGGAGGAGGATGTGGACTTGCGGTGTCATTTATGTTTGAATATTTTAACCAGCAGCAAATGAGAGGTTGAGGTCTTATCTATAAATAAATGTGTCCTCGTGTTCACAAATGTTTTTGTTTTTTTTAAATTAGGTGATTTGTGATTAAAGTCATGTTGTGCATTTGTGCCAACCGGTCCCATCATAGGGTTTAAGTAGTTGGATCAAATGTTACCGTAAAAAAACGAAGCAATCAATGGAAACAATTTGAACCTTTAATTCAAACAAGAACCATAAAACCCGAGCTTTCATTAGAATATCTATCCATTTTTAAAACCAAGCAACCTTTTTAAGCCAGTTTTTAATCACTTGGAATGTATAATTTTGCCATTGACCATTCAAAATAGTAATGAAAAATTAACAATATAAACATTCTTTTTCAACTTTTAAAATAGTTTTAGTCTCCCAAAATACAGTTACAGTTCAATTTAAATCTGTGTGGCAACCAACCCTGCGCACATTTTACCAGACTTTGAGATGAAATTAAGTTACCATCACTCATCACAGACTTTCAAATCCTGTCAAACTGTAGCTAACCCCCACATCTACTAACTACAGTTGACACATTTCTAGCATCTCTGTCTAGCACAGTTTAATTATACATTTAGTTGACAGACCACTTTTTTACTTTCGATACAGTAAAGCTGAAATGTCACCCTCACCATGAGTGTTAGTGACTTTCAGATGTTTTAACATGGGAGCAGGTGAAGAAAGCAAACATTTTGATGTTTCAGTTTGTTTCTGTGATCTTCAAAGGACCAGAAAATATGTGTGCCAACCATCCCCGGGCTCCCCTAGTTTGTAGAGAGGCATTGTCAGTTGACAGTTGCAAAACTGAGATTAATAAAGCAATTAGTCCATACCCATTGAGTGCACAGTTGCCCACGTACAGTTTCACATGGTGTGTGTTTGGGATACAGGTCATAGGAAATTGCAGATTAAATAGTCAACTGAACCCATTAAGAAGAGCAATGTATTCAGACAGAGTTGTTGTGAATTTGATAGTACGATTGCTTTATTGAAAGTACAGTAGAACCATTGCCAATAGTGGGATAGTTAGTGGGCTAAAATTGTCCATTAGTAGTTGAGGTAGCACGTTGAAAGGCAGATAGTTGAAGTGTTTATATGTTGTATTGACTTAAAAGTGGGTCGCACTGGTAGTTCACATGGGAAAGGTGCGGCTAGCCCTTGTTGCAGCGGTGGGGGTTGGAATCCGGCCTGCGTTCTTTGCTGCATGTCTTCCTTGCTCTCTCTCTCCCATCCTTCCTGTCATGCTTCACTGTCCTGTCAAATATAGGCAAAAAAAGAGGCGTCCTGTTCTACATATCTACCAAGTTTAGTAAAAATTGATATGGCGGTTAGGCCTAGATAAGAAATTAGCTCTCTAGCGCCCCCATTTTGTTTGATGAGCCACACCCTCCGCAATATTCATTGCCTTATAGAAGCTCAGTTTTAGTAAGTTTCCCAAATTTTGCCAAGAGGGAACTTTAGATATTGGTCCCTAGATTATGTTCACCGAGTTTCATGCAGATCGGTCAAACTTCCTAGAAAGAGATTGATTTGAAGTGTTTCTCAAAAACTTAAAAATGGCGGAAAATCTATATAACCGTAAGTTGTAGGTTCTTGAGGCAAATTTGTTCCTCATGAGGAGAGGCATCTCTGTGCAAAGTTTCATGTCTCTACGACATACGGGGCATGAGATATGCCCATTNTTGTTCCTCATGAGGAGAGGCATCTCTGTGCAAAGTTTCATGTCTCTACGACATACGGGGCATGAGATATGCCCATTCAAAGTTTGCTATTTCAATCGTTTGCTATAGCGCCCCCCTTTGGCCAATTGATGTAATATTGCTTCATTTGCATCCTCCCATGACCCTCTACCACTGTGCCAAATTTCACATGGATTGACCAAGTCAGTGAGGAGAAAAACGTGGAACAGAGACACAGACACACCCACAGACAGAGTTTTTGTCATCATATAGTAAGATAGAAGAAAAACATAAAAGGGTACAGTTGCTACATTTGTCCACAACAAGTAACTCCACGTTAAGGCTACTGGCACTTGTATGTGCAGGAGCAGATGGATGTAGAACAGCTGAGATTTATCATTGTTAACTGCGTGAGGGTGGGAGTGCATGTTTTAATTAATAAGGCTTCGGCTCTTTGTTTTACATGATGCCGTTGAGAATAAAAATCACACTTGCCTGGTATCATTTGTTGTTGCCTTGTAAATGACGTTATCATGAATGTGTTATTTTATTGCGCAGTAAGTGAATGTCAGGCTTTGCAGATGTTTGTGACTCACAGTCTGAAATAGTGAGCACTTCACACAAAGGGAAGGCATACCTAATAATGGATAGTGGAAAGGAGGTGATTATTAAATGGCACTAAAACGTTCCAGATCTTCTGCTTTGATGACATTAATGTCATGTTCTAAATGTCACATCTGAGGTGTAGAATGCATCACATTTTGGCAGCAGATGTGTCACGTTGATTCCCGTGACTTTCTTCAGAGGTTCGTATTTCGGTTGAATTTTCTGCTGCTATTTGACCTCTGTAATAAAACGCCAGAGTGCTGCATCCCTTCCCAGAGCCCCTCAGAGGATAAGAGAGGCACATTGAGGGATCCAGCCAGCTGGATTGGGCTCAGGGATTATCCTTGGATGAAACGAACAATGGAGGGAACGGGGGAAGAAGGCAGACACGTCCCAGTGCGGTGTAGCCAATTCTACAATTAATCCCACAGCTGAAGAAGTTCTGTCATACTTAAGATTTTCTGTGCTTTAGCCCATTTTTTGTTGTCTCATTTAAAATTTAATGCTATTTTCCTTTTTCCTATTGTAGTTTTGTTGTCACCATTGTCCAGGTCTTACTTTTTTGAAATGTCACGGCTGCTGCAATGTCGATCTGCTGTAAAAGGTGACTTTTTTAAAAAAAAAATAAAAATAAAAAAAAGTAAGAAAAAATGTGTCTATTTTATAATGTCCTTAAGGTATTAAGAAGTTGGTGCTATGTTTGTTTTATCTTGAATCTTTTTATCTTGGTTTTATTTTGAAATCCAGGTGACAACAAGGAGAAACATTCAGACTATTATTATTGCTATTATCATAGTAACACAGTGCAGATCCAATCAAAATGTTAATTGCTGGCAAGGGCGTAGGTTTCATTTCAGTGTTTGGGGGGGGGGGGGGGGGGGGGGGGGCACACATATGAAACAGAAGGTTTGAAGCAGGGGCATAAATATAGACACTGCAGGCAGTGTGGTTGCATTGGGGCCCTTGAGGTCGGGGGCATAGAGAGAGTGGGCCCTCCAACAATGTGTTAGGAGGAGAATAGGTCCTTATGAGTGATTGCCAACTTGATGGCCAACTTATGTCCTTGAAAAAGGCAAACCCATCTTTGTCATTTTCCTTTTTTTTTTTGGTAAAATAGTCAATAGCATCTACCACAAAATTATGCTTATTCTACATAAACTATAACAAACTGTTGTTAATTTTAATTCATATTTTTTGTTTTCTGTGGTATTTTTTGTCATATACAGATATGCAATATGTTTGTTGATGTTATCTAATGTCAATTCTCTGATCATGTGATGAGACGATATGTGCACAATGGTGTGCACTAGGGTCTGTCATAATAGCGGGCATTGGAGCCTGTCATAACTACCTTACACCACTGGTTTGGAAGTCCTTCACTAGAAGATTTTGAACATCAAACACTTGATTTCCTGTATTCTAGTGATTTATTTTCATCGAGAGCTGAGCTGACACCTGCGGGATCCTGAGCCGAAGTGTTCGTCGGGGATTGTAGCCTCCTCTCCCAGTGTGTCATCCTCTGTGTCATACCCTCGCTCTTTCCTCTCCCAAACTCCCAGTCTTGAAGGTGGAACACAGAAATTGTTCCATTCAAACAACGCTGGAGCCGTTCCGTCTTTAACAGTCACTGCACTGTCTCATAGCTGGTTCACGAACATCCTCTTTCTTGAAATGCCGACTACAAACTTGGGTATGCGAGCTAGCTGTAAATTTCTCCCTCCAGATAGTGACAATCCATTGTCACCTGGTTTCCGCATCGGAGGAAAAACTAAGTAATTACTGGAAGCTTGACAAAGAGGCACTTAGTGAAGTTCAGCGGAATAAAAACGCAGAAGTGATGTGGCTGTCTTAGCTTTAACAGGAAGTACATCAGCACCACTGTGTGCATATAGCTCATTTGTGGCCTTTCTGCATCAATTTATGGTGGAAATATCTTTAATTTTGTCAAAATAAAAGTCCTCTGCTACTTTTATGTTTTTATTGGAGGGTTAAAATCGTTAAACGTTAAATATGGTGTTAGATAAACTGTATTTTGCTTGCCAATTCACCCTGGACATGTTAAATGAATCACCGTGGAAGCCACTGTATATTTGTTGAAGTGGATATCTGACTGTGAGCAGTATTAAGATGACCAAATTGTGTTTTCCTGTCTCTGTTTCAGTTGATGGCTGCCACAGGAAACAATGCAGCCAGGGCCAAATATGAGCAGAAGGTTCCTGCTTTCTACTACAGACCAACACACACTGACTGCAAGTAAGTGTTTTTTCACTTGTCCCTTCCAAAACAGGAATACTTGAGGAGCAGCCAGTGTGAGCTTTGTACAAGCAGTTTATTGTCTGAAAAGAGAAAATATGCTAAATGAATTAGCCTACATGCTAGTTAGCTAAAAGACATCAAGGCTAACATTAACCGAGCAGATACATTTTGTCAGTTTAGTGATAAATACACCATGTTACAATATTCACTTTCCAACTACCTCTTGTTTTGCATGGTCATTAAGTATTCTGTGAGTCAGTTTTCCACTGAGCTTCCACAATGGCACCCGTGTCACTTAAAGGTCAGTGTTTGTGTGTCATTATGTAATATAACCTTTACTGGACAAAATATCAAAGGTGACTCCTAAGTTCACTCATATTTTGACTACTGTTTCCTCTATAAATAGTAAAAAGATAGAGAGTGGTGTGTTCTTTTGTGTTGCTATTGCTAACAGGAGCCAACTGGCTACAGCTAGGCTGCTGGATTGCCTTTTTCCTGGAAGCCATTTTGACATAAGCACAGGTGTAAACACTAGACTGGCTGTACCATCGTTAATGTTATTAGTAACACCTGCAGGGGCGGACTGGCACTGAGATTTAGCACTTTTGAGATGGAAAGGCTTTTTATGAGAGCACCCGAAGGGCATGTGCAGAATATTTTTTAGCAATAATTTTAACAGTTTTTCAGGTATAAAGAGAATCTGATGATGCTGAAGACCTTGAAGACACTTCAGGATGTCTTCCTGAAACCTGCCTCCTCAGTTTGTATCTCTAATTTAGCCTACTTCACAGTCACATAATATTATATTCAATAGTGCACCTGTAATTGGATCTATGCAGGTTCCTGCTCCCTCCTCCTCCATCCGTTCCTTTTCAGAGCCATGTTCACCTGTAGAGGAAGTATTTAACAAGTCGATTTTATCGCTAGGCTGACCATCAAATATTATATGCCTTATGGGCTATAATACAAAAAAGAATTGATGAGTAATGTAGAGGAAAATTATCAAATTTACATGTTTATTTTGCATTCAAAGTTGGTGACAGTGTTTTGAACACTTAGGAGAAGTTTAACCTTCTCTAACTTTTGTGCACTGAGACTGACTAGTACACCTTAGAAACTTTTTGTGCCAGGCTGTAAACATGTTTATTTATGCTGTATTGTCAGCACTTTAACATGGGGGTCTAATGGGAATTGACTAAGTGGCAATGCAAGCCAGTGCAAGGGTGCCAAAAACTGCAGTTCAGCGAATGACCACTTGAGGTAGCCTCAAAAACAGAGTTAAACCACCCCACACCCATGTTAAAATGCAAAAAATATATTTACTGCCCGGTGCAAAAACAGTTTTGATCTTGCTAGCTATTGTCAACATTCATGACAACTGTACAGGGGGTGAATTTTAAAAAAAAACAAAAAAAAAAACATACTCGTTTACATTTTAATAATGCCAAAAGTTATGCATATTTAAAAGCGGGGATGATTTAGTGTCAGGCTGTCAGATCCATCCCTCACTCCCTCATAGCCCCAAGCTCTCATCCAAATATGGGCACTTTTGTCTCCAAAAAACCAAGATGGCGATTTCCAAAATGTTGAACTGGCTTCAGAACGGCAGCCCACAAACCACTGGGTGACGTTACAGTTGCTACGTCCATTATTTATACAGTCTATGGGATTGGCTATCCTCTAGGGTCAGCCTCAAGTGTCCGTCAGAGGAACTGCAGTTTTTGGTACTTAGACGTTGGCTTCATTTTTCATCCCTGAAGGGTTGCTGCTTGCACAGACTACTGGATACTTTCAGTTTCGGTTGTTTCAATTGCTACCTGATATTACAGAGTACCCCTGCCGAGTCACTACAGCTATAGGCTCCCCAATGGCCAGTCCAAAACTGAATGCCTGTGCCTTTCTTTCTATGACAAGTCAAAATATTTTTAGCCTTTATAGAGCATGGAATTAGTAAGAGAGCTAACGTTAGATATGGTGTCATCAGTTAGCCTTGCCGATAGCAATCACTGCAACAACAAAACACCCTGTGGCTTAAAAATAGCTTTTCCATAGACCCTCCCTGTAAAAACAAGGCCTTTTTAACTTCAGATTCATAATACAAATGGTAATATTAGCAAAGCTTTCCCAGACTTTAGAAAAGTTATCTTTGTTTGCGTGACATCTGGGCTAAATGTAAAGTGTATGTAATGTTAATATCTTTGGTAGGGATGTAACAATTCACTAAATTCCTGGTTTAGTTTGACGGTACAGTACGTTTTCAATACAGCAAAAAAGTAGAAATTCCATAGAAATTTCCTTGATATTTAAATGTTTTTATTTTATGTTATTAAGATTTATTTGTTTATTAAAGCTAACTTTGAACAATGATGGAGCTATACCTGAGTGGGTCTTCTGTTTCAGGTTGGGGATAGGATGGGCAGACAGCATGTTGCCAGTTACGATGTGTGTGCTGCCTTGTTGAGCGCAGTGGCCCTGAGAACATTATATTTCATGCAATCTAAGCTGTATATTTTATTTTCCAAATGTAACAGGATAGTGAAACATATCATTCGATCTGTAATGCATACCAAACTGAAAGCCTCATACCGAATGGTTCAATACAAATACGTGTACTGTTACACCCCTAGTCTTTGGGCAACATCCATGCTCTGGTGCTAATTATCTGTGGGGAGATTATTAAGAGCAACCCTTTCATGCTACACATAGCCATTTGTTTTATTGTTAATCTAAAAATATTAAGTAGTGCAGCTTTAATGCTTAATTTCTGTATGTAATATTGGCCATTGTTGAGCTCCACACTTCTCTTCTCACACTGCCTGAGACTGAATGTGATAAGAAAAGGCTGAATGCAGAGGCAGGTACACTGCATGCCGATAAGTGCTAAAGTGATGCAAATACCGTGTGGTGGGACATTGTTACTGTAAATGAAGATATAGTATACAGTTTCACACCTCTCACTGTGTATATCACATAAATATCTCTTCCTCTTTTGCTGTAAAAGCCCCTGTGGTCGACTGTTTCATGTTTTATGTTTTAGATCTTTGAATCAAAGTGAATTAATTAGGTTTAAGCTTTTTTTTTTTAACAACATCACAGTTCTGTAAGCATACATTTTAATTTATTTGGAGGCTGCTGTATAGCACAGATCTTTCTACACCAACAAATATATATTTTTGAGTCTGCCTCCAGGAATAGTTTTTCTTCTATTGTACCTTTTCCTACTGCAAACACTTTGGTTGTGTAAGCTGAGGTGGTGACACAGATTTTCTTGGGCATTTTCAGCTTGTCCATCCATCTCTCTCTGTGTCTGCCTCCCTCCAACTGAGTTTGATTCAAATAGAAGCAGAAGACAGGCAGAGTGAGATAAAGCTCAGATGAAAGAGAAGTGTCTTCCTCTGTGTCTGTGCCATTGTGTCTTGTGTTCGCTCACTCTACTCCCCCGAGAACCACAGGGTTTTAGTTCCTATCCAGTGTCACTAGAAGGTGTCATTCAAAGAGATATCTGCTAAGAGTACGACACGTTACCTCTTGATGTTGATAGAATGGCTGTTTGGAGCCTGAAGCGGAGATTGAAAGGTTGAGAGATGCAGAGAAGGAAACAGGATGAGAGAGATTGTTGGCATGGTGATGTGCTGACTGTTGCCATTTGTTTCTCCACACATTGAAGAGGAAGAAGGTCTAAAATTGAGAATGTAACAACAGACAAACTGGTGTGAGAACTAACTGTGTGTGTTTCTATGTCTCCAGGATGCTGAGAGAGCAGTGGATCAGAGCCAAGTACGAGAGGAATGAGTTTGAGTTCATCGAAAAACAGGAACCTTACTCTGCAGGTACTGACATGTTGGTATTACTATACTTCTGAAGACCCTCATGCAAGCAGATTTTTTGAATATTTGGCCGGTTAGAAGGTGCATACTTAAATATATAATGATGACCTACTCACTAAAAGGACATGGTCTCAGCTATGTAAAAACAACAGAGAAGGGGTCACTCATGTCACATGACTCGACTTGTGTCAGAGTTGATCCGCAAATTTAAGGACTTTAGACTTGATTGACTAACATCGATAAAGACTTGATTTATTATTTATGACTTGAGACTTGACTTAGACTTGACTTTTTTTTATTAAATATTTGCATTTTATAGAGAGAGAAGTTACATTTTTTCCTCTGACTCATGATTGGATGATTCCTTGTGCAATGAGTGCAAACCTGGCAACCTACTAGGACGCGCTTGCAGCTATGATGGAGGGGGCTAGTCCAGATCATCAGAATTTGATTTGACTTGTGACTTGCTTGAACTCAGCAAGGACTGTATTGCTTGTCTTACAGCGGGGACTTGACTTGCTTGATTCTCACTAAGGTATCATGGGACTTGTTTGAGTCTTGAAGGTTAAGACTTGATTTTGAAACATGCTTGTGACTTGCACAGGTTTTTCTTACTCTCGCCTCTAAAAAACGCTATTAAAGGATTAGTCTTATGCACATTTTTTTTGCCAAGAGTTAGATGTGATACCATAATCGTGTCTGTATGGTAAATATGAGCCAGGAGACAGTTAGCTTAGCTTACCATAAATACTGGCAACAGGGAGAAACAGCCAGCCTGACTCTGTCCAAAAGTAAGAAAATCTGCCTACCAACATATCTAAAGCTCACCAACTAACATTATATCTTCTTTGTTTAATTCTTACAAACACCAAAGTGCTTTTTTTCCCTGCCTGGCCAAAAAATAGTCCAGAGCAATGGCTAGCTGTCTTCTTCTGCTTCCAGTCTTTATGCTCAGTTAAGATTATCTTACCATCTCCAGAATGTAGCTGCATATTTACTGGATAGATATGAGTGGTATCAATGTGATCATCTAACGCTGCCTATTTCCCAAAATGTCAAATACAGCTTTGAAAAAAAAAAAGTTAAAATGTCATGTAATGTTAATTCTCTGCATTCAAAGAAAGCCTGAAAAGCATCTCTGCGACACTCAAGTTCAGGCTAAGACCAGCAAAGTATCTTCACTCCTCACTTATGCTTCCCTCATTTAGCCTATAGAGAGGCGAAGTCCCTCTCCTTCCGGTGTTTCACATGGAACCTTAAAGCGGTAAAAAGATGTGCAGTAGTCAGCAACGAATGACAAATAATTTTTTATCACATTTTAAGTATGCCTTGGATTATACTTATGATGTTTGTTAATTGTAAAGGATAATTTTGTAAGTCAAGAACATTGCAGTTTACCACAGGTTTGTTGGAACAGTTTAGTTTTGTGTGAAACTGCAAGGTGAATTACATCTCTTATAATATATGTCACCTACATCCCTCTGTTCCAAAAAACTGCGACTTCCTCCATTGTGTGGGCAACTGGGCAGGTCAGCAAGAGATGCAAAAACATAGCAGTGTTTTCATTTCATGATTTTTTGTAACTAACCTGTAAATATGATGCAATATTTGATATTCATCATGATTTCCTGAATACAAAGAAAAGGAAAATAACAGCAAGCCTTGATAGTGTTACATGTGTTGTTGCTACGCGCCATTTTTGCCAAAAACTGATTGCTTTGTAGCCTTATATGCAATAGTCCAGTTAAAAGTATAGAAAAAACTCTTAGTTTTTCTATACTTTTAACTGGACTATTGCATATAAGGCTACAAAGCAAAAATGGCCGCTCTGTTGTTGTGTCAGTCTTGCGTTGTTTACCCTTCAATAAGCAGAACCTTGAAAACTCCTCGGACAAACATTCCCCAGCGGAGGATCCCTTTAGCTGGAATTCAATTATCCTGAAACATCTATCGCCGACTTTCAAATGCTCATTTTCATCCATCTTCTCCTAAGTGGTTGTGTGTATGTTTGCAGTTTAAAGCGTTGTAAGCTATATTCAAGCAATGACACTGTAATTGTCACTGTAGGAGAATGAAGGTGCCATTTAAACAGTGTGTGTGTGTGTGTGTGTCTTTTGTTGGTTTGTGTGTGTGTGTGTGTGTGTGTGTGTGTGTGTGTGTGTGGAGGTTGAGGGTGCAGTATTTGTGTGTGGGGTGGCTGTGTGTCAACTGGTATACATTTCACGTCTTGTTGAAGATGGAGCTCTCTGATTGGCTTGCAGTGACCTCATTCGTTTATTGTTACAGTGGAGAACTGTGCACACACACACACACACACACACACACATACACACACACACAGAGTGTAATAATATGAGTCATTTTGTCATCTCTCTTTGTGCATTCATGCTCTCTTCATCACTCATTGTGAGGTGCATGACATCTGTGTGTGTGTATGTGTGTGTGTGTGTGTGTGTGTGTGTGTGTGTGGCTGAGACGTACTATTGGCAGTAACCTGGCCTCCGCAGCAGCCAATGTTAATATTGATCTGATATGCAAAGGATAGGAGGAAGGAAAAAGAGTGTCAGGGAAGGAGGCGAGGGTGGGGACAAGGAGGGCTATTGATCCATGAGGTAATGCTAGTGTAGGTGAATGTTTCATGTCAGAAAGTCACAGCCACAAAGACACACACACACCACACACACAAAGATGGAGAGGAGTGAGTGCAGAGGACAAGAGGACAGAAGAGAGGTAATCAATCACAGCCGGTGTTGAGTAAGGAGAGTGAAAAAGACCAGTAAAGAAATTGGTGTGGATGACCAGATTTTGGGTGAACTGGCCCTTTAAAAGCTTGTAACTTAATTGATCCTGCCCTTATCCATTTCTTCCTCTTTTATACGTATGAAAAGTCTTTCTTCTAAACTTATTTCACTTCCTTTATTCTGCACTTTTCTCAGAAGTCATTCAGGGCAAATTAACTCCTCTTTCATCCCTCACTTGTCATTTTCAGTGTGAGTTTATTCCACAATTGCCACTCATTATAAAACATTCTGGATAACATCAACAGCCAAATGACTAAAATGCAAATGAGTCACCTGATTATGCTCAGACGTCTTCCTCCCATTACGCCACAAAAATAGATCCAGATTAGAAAGAAAACACATCACAGTGTGACTGAAATAGAAGAGAAAGACAGAAAAGGAGGCAGTGTAGGCTGAGCTTTTTTTCTACTAAAATAGACAGAAGAAGAAGAGGAAGAAGACATTAAGAGCTATAAATAGAACAGCATATCATTAACATGAAAAGGGATGTTCTTTGGTCTTTAGAGACAATAAAATCTCCCGTTTGCTGTCTCATGCTGCATTTCCTGCTAAATTCTCCCCTCTCTTGTCTGTTTGCCTCTTGGATGTTGTGTTTTCTCTCTCTCCGTCTCCTTTTTCTTCCTCTTCTTCTAAATGCGATTTCAAGCGATCTTTGATTTCGGCCTCAACTGAAGTATCATCTCACACCAAGCAGTTACAACATCTCACCATTACTGTTATAAATGCCTCCTCTGTTTTAATCCCTCATCTGCTCCGATGGGTTTTTGATAACAGCCTCCCCACCTCAAACACTTTTCCTCTCTCTCTCTCTCTCTCTCTCTGTCTCTCTGCCCAGGGTACAGAGAGGGGTTTCTATGGAAACGAGGAAGAGACAACGGTCAGTTTCTCAGCCGAAAGTTCATCCTGTCGGAGAGGGAGGGGGCGCTGAAATACTTCAACAAGCAGGATGTAAGCAAGATGATGCAGCGGATTTTAAACAGTGTTTACAGTTAATTCACTTTGGTAAAAGAACAGCAATACTCAGGAGTACAACACTTTCAATACGCCCTATTTGTTCCTCTTGTTCTCCTCCACCAAGGCCAGGGATCCCAAAGCGGTGATGAAAATTGAAACCCTCAATGCCACCTTCCAACCGGCCAAGATTGGCAACCCGTGTGGCCTGCAGATCACCTACCTGAAAGACAACAGCACAAGGAACATTTTTGTCTACCACAGTGATGCTAAGGTACACCGTCAAACACTTGCTTGTGAATTCTGTTACTGTACACACTGTCCTTTAGAAAACCTTTCCTCAGTGCTTTCAGCAATGCAGTGTCATGCTTCTTATATGCTCCATGTCAAGTCTTAGAATGCAGTAATACAGGGCACAAATACAGGGTTAGTAGTGTAATATGCATGCTGCCTGCTTTGCTAAACACACTTGGACTGGGAAATGTCCCTTAATAATTCATTTCCTTTTGGCTTTTTGGAGTATCACTAGCTACAGTGCAGTCACAGAGTATTTGGATAGTGAGACAGTTTGTGTTGTCGAGACAATGACTACGAGGGTCAAGCGCTGACTTTTTGCATTAATTTAAATTGTCAAATATTGACGCTTGATCAGTGGCCCTTAGCGTCGATACCAAGGCGCTGAGTCACCCTTCAGTTAAAAGTCTAGTCCCTTTTAATAGCCCGGTGTGATACGCATTTTTATAAATAAACACCTGTCTCAATTAGGGGCCTGGTCCGGTTGCCAAGCATCTACCTATCCCAGCTGACATTGGGCAGGAGGCAGGGTACACCCTGGACAGGTCGCCAGACTATCACAGGGCTGACACATAGAGACAGACAACCATTCACACTCACATTCACACCTATGGGCAATTTAGAGTCACCAATTAACCTGCATGTCTTTGGACTGTGGGAGGAAGCCGGAGTACCCAGAGAAAACCCACACTGATACAGGGATAACATGCAAACTCCACACAGAAGGTCTTCCTCCTGGGACTGAACAAGGAACCCTCTTGCTGTGAGGCAACTACACCACCATGCTGCCTGGTTGCCAAGCAGTTTATTGATTGATTTTTTTTATAGAAGTTCTTTGGATGTATCAAAGCGGGTTGTTGGCTACCTCAAATTATGTGTCCATTCCTCGATTACCCTGTAAGTTATTCGTATTCCTTTAGTCCGTATGGGTCCTTGGATCAAAAGATTTAAAAGGGTTTTTCATAAAAATGAATCCAAGTTGTGAGTATTGGTTTAACAGGATAGTGTTGGTGTTGTGTCGGTATGCTTGATGCCGTAATCCTCAAGTGCCGTAACTCTCTCTCACTCAGTTGCACTGTGTGTCAGAGCTACATCAAATGAACGATTTATAACTGATATATTATCTGACGCCTCATTTTTAAACAAGTAATGTTCATACTAGTTAAAGTAAACAATCTGATCGTGTTTCCCATCTTTGCTGAGTAACAGTTTTGTGTGAAAGGAATTAAAGGCCTGTCCCATACATATGCCTCTCCCAAATATAGGCCTGTTGATTTCACCGATTTAAGCAAATAATACCCCGGGCTACTAATTGAAGTTTTATGGTTAACCTAAAAAGGGAGCATCTATCTACATTTTAAGATTAATTTGAAAAGAGACTATGCATTTAGCGAGCGGAAACTGTACATTTTCTGTGAAAATGGAAGTTCATTTTGAAAAAACGCAATGCATGTCACAAACGTAAATTAACACGCCATCCCTGAGCACCCAAAACTGACGCTGGAGTGTGAAGTTTGACGTGTAGGGGCACTGACCAAGCATCAGTATTTAAGGAGTCGGGAGTGAGTATGTGTTGAAAGAGCAGGCTATTATACTTAATGGTCAAAAATTGGAGGGCTGTGGGAGAAAATGTGTTTAACAGTATGGGTGTGAGTGACCTCAAACAGCCTCAAACCTTAACGTCAGCACCTTAACTGTATTGGTGAAACCCCAAATCCACCCCAGTGTCCACCTGTAGGGTCTGAGCTGAGTATACCTTCCCTGGGAGGGCGAGGAGGGAAATTACTAACGTCACTCCCCACTCCCTGCAGTGCTCCGCTGGGCACTTGCCTTGTGGGGAGTGATGAGGTCAGAGCCTTGACACAAATGTCAGCGCTGTACAGTACATACTCAAATATTAAACCGCTCCACATGAGCTGGCGGGCTGCAGCACAGATAAATGCATCTCTTTTTTTGTTTGTTTTATGCATGTAACTGTAGTAAAGTAGTGGTTGGTTCAGTTTGTATCTTTACAGCAAAGCTTTAGGAAATTATTTGTAAACGCTATGTTTACAATTCATTTTATGGGTCCCATAATTGCCATATAATTTCCGAGGAAGTTTCCTGGAAAATGTAATGTAATTTAGAGCTGATAAAGGACATTCTGAGCTAATACACTAAGTGGCCATTGTTATTTCTTAAGGAAGAACAAGGAATTGATAAATAGTCACATAGTTGTAAAGATTTCATAAACAGTTGAACTTATATACTCTCAACATTGTGATTTTGAACCTCTATATGTATGTGATATGTGTGTGTTTGTGTGTGTGTGCCCACTGTCTCTCCAGAGAAAGAGAAAGAGAGTTGATGATAAAGGAAAAGATTAGAGAGCAGACAGACAGATATTAATAGCTATTCAGTGTTCAGAGGCTGAGACAGAAACATCTCTCTCCCTCTGCTGGCCAAGTTGTGTTACTGAAGGCTGTGACAGAAGGAGTTCATTGGGTTCATTCAGTGTCACCGTCACTCTTGTTCTGTGCTGGAGTTATCGACAGCACTGCAGCATCCGCACAGCACTGATGCCTTTGACTACACCTTACTGATACCTGTTCTGGCACCAGGGGACAAAAAAACCCACATTATTTGCTCAGAGCCCAAGTGAATAGATACAGTGTGACATGTTGCCACTGAGGGTGTTTTTTTTTTTGTTTTTTTTTGCAGGAGATGGTTGACTGGTTCAACGCTATCAGAGCAGCCAGGTTCCACTACCTACAGGTGGCCTTCCCTGGAGCAAGTGACGAGGAGGTGAGGATTTATTCACACAAAACTATTAGTGCTTGTTGATGCACTCCCAAACCAAGAACGGAACAGGACGGGACATGAGGAATTATTCAGTTGCTGTAAGATAGATGACTTGCAGGTGTTGACCTCTGAATAGGGTTGCAACAGTATGAGGTACGATAACCATCTCATAAAATATCACTGTGTTCCACAATTATCATTATCAGTTATGAAAGGTGTGTTTATAGGGATCCCAATGTTCCAGTCAGAATAAGAATGCCTCATGTAACCACTTCAGTCAGAAGAGACTGGCCTGATCCGGCATGATCTGAAAGAATTTTCAATTGTCTTGAGAGGGCTGGTGTAAATCTTTGATGATTCGATCGATAGGAAAATAGCAGCACCTAATAACCGTGTAAACACTTCTGATCTTTTCTTTCTAGTTGGAATAAATATGTGTTGTCCGCCTGTTTGCCCCACATGGGTAGGGATAGACCGATATGGATTTTTTAGGGCCGATGCCGATACCGATTTTTTTCCATCACCCTTAGCTGATGACCGATTATGGACTGCCGATTTTCTTGAGCCGATATTTGGGGCCGATACTGCTTTTGCTCCCTCAATTTACATAAAAAAAAATGACACAGTGATAACAAATATTACAGGTCTCAAGTTTAAAATAAGAAACATTTATTGAACAGTAAAAAAATACTAAAACAAGATGGAAAGTTGAGGTAGAACAGGTAGAATATTATTATTATTATTATTATTATTATTATTATTATACATTCAAATAAAAAAAAGAGTTCAGTTCTCTTAAATCTTCCAGTAATGTCTTTATAAAATAAACAAATATTTAAGCTGAAGTATAAATAAAACAACAACTACTGTACACAGTAGTATTCGCTGCATGTGTGCTGCAGGGTCTTTCGGCAACACAGAGCTGCCCGTGGATGCCTGTCTGTAAATCATGCCAGGGAAAAATAAATCCGCGAACCCACGCGCATATCGGCTGATGCCAATACAAGTAAAAAACTCAAATATCGGCCTGATATATCAGCCGGCCGATGTATCGGTCTATCCTTACACATGGGGGTAACATTAGGTGACATAAAGCGTCAGAAACGACATGCCGCAGCAGCCTTTTCTGTGAGCCTCCACCTGCTTTGACAGAGAATCATTCATAAATTCAAAAAAATACTTAGCACTCTGCTAGTGCTATATTATTAAGAGAGTGCTTTGGTTAATAAATGTATTTTTTGATTTTGAACAGTAGCCCTATGTAACGTTGTTGCTACAGGCTGTAATGTAAAGTCACCGGACATACCAATTGCCTATTGCCAATGTTACCAGTAACATCAGACGTTTAGGAAACATCTGTAAATTGTAGCGTCGGCTGATAATCTGCATGTGAGGTGTTTTGGGGTCATCTGTAATTTTAGCTACAGAAAATAATCTGGGTTACACTTACGTTACTGACTACTAAATTATATTGACAGACAGAACCACTTCCTCTATATGTTATGTATTGAATGAATGAAATTTTCTCAATAAGGTTGGCGGGAAAAAAACTCTTTTTCTGTTATATACTCAGCAAATTTGACGCTTCACAGCAGCAGAACCACTTTGCACAAGTCAAAAAAGTTACAGTCTGATTAAATGCTGTGGGGCATGTAAATGCACATCTACCTGGATCACTTTATTTGGCGTCCATGTCAACAGCTAAATTAGAATCTCTAATGATTTGAAGGGGATTGAAGAAAAATTGTCCTGGAAACAGAAAGCTTTTTTTTTACAGAACGCTTTCTTATTATTGAAATTTGAAATAATTTTTTTTAATGGAAGTATGTGTAAAAGAAAAAGGACGAAGGGAGATGCACATGCGTGACTGAGACTCTCTATCTGGTTGCACTTTTTAGAAATACCGTAGATAAGCAAATACACACAGTATGATAACTGTCAGTTTTGATACCCCAGTATGCATGAATGCGTTTACTTCACATGGCTTTCTTTTGTCTTTTCTTCTCCAGCTGGTGCCCAAACTGACCCGAAACTTCATGAAGGAAGGCTTTATGGAGAAAACAGGTCCAAAGGTTTGTGCTGTGATTATATTCCCTGGTTCCTACCATGCATTTAAAGCCAAATCAGGAATAATATTATTATTACTCCTCGATTTCACAGTGACATTTGCCCAAAGCTGACCTACATGTCTGCAGATCATGTATATAGTGTAATGGTTTCCAAATGTTTTGCCTTGTGAACAATTAAAATGAAGCAATGTCTACTTGCAACCCCCCGACACAGACATTGTAACATTTGATTCTTGCCTAACCTAAAAAAAAACGTAAGGCTTCAGTTTGTTGACACTTGCAGACCAAAATGTAACTGTGTCTCTCGTCTGCGACAGCACACGGAGGGCTTCAAGAAGAGGTGGTTCACCATGGACGACAGGAGGCTCATGTATTTCAAAGACCCTCTGGTAAGAAGAGACCTGAGCCCTCATCACCTGTCCTTTTGTTCTGATTAATCTCTGAGTTTGTTTACAGGACTTCCGCTCTCTCTGTCCGTCTCCCAGGATGCGTACGCCCGCGGCGAGGTGTTCATCGGCAGTAAGGAGAACAGCTACACCGTCCTGTCCGGCTTGCCCTCTTCCACACAGGGCTACCACTGGAACCACGGCATCACCATCGTCACGCCGGACAGGAAGTTCCTGTTTGCCTGTGAGACCGAGGCCGAGCAACGGGATTGGATAGCTGCCTTCCAGAGGGTGATCAATCGACCAATGAGGCCGCAAGAATACGCAGGTGCGAAACATTAGAAACATTGGAATAATGGGTCTCTGCTTGGTTTTTAACTTGAAACACACACGGCACAGTTGTGACATTAAGCCCGCAAATGTCTCGGGCTTGTGGGTAATGATGTTCATTCTGTCATTTTAGAACAATGTCACAGTTTCTATCTCTTGTTATTGTATCTTCATGTGTCGCCCTCTCCTTTCTATCTGTTGCTGTCACACAAGCAGTAGGAGCCATTGTTATGTTTTATATAACTGCACATTATGCTACCCATGGTGTTGTGTTATGGCGGAACTAGCTGTATGTTGAATGAACTAGGAAACATGGGACATATGTAGTCCCAGTGGCCTAATGGATAAGGCACTGGTCTCCTAAGCCAGGGATTGTGGGTTCGAGTCCCATCTGGGGTGGAATGATGCAGCAATATCATGCTGAGCCCATAGCCTGCTGGGCGATGGCTACAATCCATCCTCTGTAGCAGCTTTTTAATGTCTGGGTGCTCTCCTCCACTGCCTCTGACTGACACATTCAGCCATATTTAATCACTCTGAATGGGTCAATAGTGTAATCCATTAAGAGTTAATGATCCTCATCCTGTGTGTGAGTGAGTATTGCTATGAAATGAGATGAAACACTGATATACCTGCAGGAAAATTTGGATATATTGCTGGCAAAAAGTAATATTATCAAGGTAAAGCATGTTCCTGGAGTTTACTGTCTTTTTCCACTGCCTAAGACAAATCAGCATCCACTACCCTGTCAGCATCCTGTAGTTACAGAACAGAATAACAGTGCAGCATAGCTTACCATGGTGATCTACCCCAGTTAAAATTGATCTAGCTTTGTGATAAAGGAAAACTCGAGTTAAGCCCAATGTGTGCTCACTAATCTCACTTTGTGGTAGAATTTACTACTCAACCAAAATGCTAAAATGCATCACACACGTTCTAGTTTTTCCCTGTTCTTCTGGACACATTTTGGCATGATGTCACAGTTTTTGGCTGTAGTTCTCCTCTCTGTCAGGGCTTAACTGTGTCTCCATGTGTCTCCCCCTCCTCTTTCTGTTTCTCTTGTTTTCTCTTACTTGTACAGTTGCATCGAGGGCCATTGTTATGTTACTTTAAACCACACATTGTGCTTCCATAGTGTTACATTATAGTGCAGCTGGCTTTATGTTCAGACAACTAGAAAAGTAAGGGTCAAGGGAAGCCCCAGTGGCCTAATGGATAAGGCACTGGCCTCCTAAGCCAGGGATTTTGGGTTCAAGTCTCATCTGGGGTGACAGACAACAGAGTGTTGTGCTGTACTCACTCTATTAATATTTTACAGTCACCTGGGTGGTCTCTGCCACTGCCTTCTAACTGGGTATAGATCTAGGTATAGCCGCATTTGTAATCACTCTGAATGGGTCAACAGTGTAATTCAACCAGAGTTAGTGATTCCCATCCTGGTTCCTGTATGATGACAGGATACAGTTTCCTCTGGCTCAGTGAAGCCAGGTAACCCAAAAGGAGCCTAATATTGGTGATCCAGGATAAGAAAGCTATCGCAACGCTGATTATCAACGGGCTCTTTTGAGTCTGTTTTCATGTAAAAAAGGCTGAGTTGTTTATTACAAGCAACATAACCCGAACCATGAATGAAGTTGTCAATATGAGATGAGATGAAATAGTGATAAACCAGCAAGAATATCCAGTTATAGCTCCAACCAAAAGTGCTTTTGTCAAGGTGAAATGTACCCAGTGCTATCACAATACTAGAATAAAATAAGAAGCCAGAATTGTTTGAAGAAAATTAAATTATTTCCAAATATCATACCTTGAAGACTAAAAATAGGTGTGTAATTACCAAATGTGTCTTTAGTATATAGAGCCATTACTTCCTGTCTACCCTTTGTTCCACTAGCTTCTGTGACTCATTCAGCATGTCTTTTTTTGGTCTCTCTGAAAAAAATGAATTGTGTTCCTGGAGCTTACTGTCCGTACTCTCAGACACATGAGCATCCATTACCCTGTCAGCATCCTGTAGGAATGATGACCTACCAGCAATGTGATTGGTCAGTGGTTGGGCTGTTTACAGGTTCTGATCTAATTCTCTGAAGTTACCCTGCCCTGGAGCATGTCAGCGCTGCGGCATAGGTTACCATGGTGATCTACCCCAGTTACAAATGAGGCAGCTTTGTGATAAAGGAAAACTCCATGTGTCTCCCCTCCTCTTTCTGTTCCACTTGTTTTCTACCATTGTTATGTTAGTGAAAGCCACACATTGTGCTGCCTGTATCATTGCTTTATATTGGAACTGGCTATACATGCACAGAACTGGTGAAGCACTGCAATGTGAAGCCCCAGTGGCCCAATGGATAAGGCACTGGCCTCCTAAGCCAGGGATTGTGGGTTCGAGTCCCATCTGGGGTGATTGACTGTTTAGTCTCTCTTTGGGTGACCTGACTGATGATGCTGCTTATCAACTGGCTCTGTGAAATCTGTACTGTCATGTTAAAGTTACAAGCAACTTAGTGCAGGAGTAAAGTATTTGATATGAAAGATGATGAGACAATGATAAACCATCAAATTCAGCCACAACAAAAAAAAGTAAAAAGTGATCTTATTGAAGTGAAATCTATACAGTGTCATGTATAGATTTGATCTTATTGAGGTGAAATCTATACAGTGTCATGTATAGATTTGATCTTATTGAGGTGAAATCTATACAGTGTCATGTCACTACAATAGTATAAGAAAACCGTAGATCTGTTTTGCATATACACTGCAAACAGTACTCATATATAGGCAAGGCAGTTACCAGATGGTAATAGCCACATCACTGCCCCATCCATCTCTTGCTGTATTTCCCTTCACTGACAGTGTCTGCGCCTTGCACACCGTCCATGGAACGGGGTTGTGCAACATTTTCAGAGCAAAAACCAACAGGCTGGAGTGTTTAAAGCAGGACAGGGGTGTAGCCCTGCTGCAGCACACAGGAACAATGTTCCTTGAATTGAAATATTGAAACCAATGTCATGCAAGAGAGCCAGTAAAAACAAATGCAATGGTCAGATTTATTTAGCTATTTATGGTGTTTTTATTGATTCACAAAATCAACTTGTGCTCTGAGTAACATGCAAGAAAACATTGCTGGTAGCTGCTAGCAGTAGCTTTTAGCAGCACAGTAAAGTAAAATATTTTTTCTCAGTTCAGAGGCAGCAAAACATCCTTTAGGTGTATGCTTATAGTCGACTAATGCATATAAACTTGCCACAGTAGACACAGTGGTTACAGTCCACTGTAGTAGATCAAGAGTGATGATCCTCTCTTGACCAACCAATCAACCTTTTTGTATCGGATAAGTGATACCTCACCAGAAGGGTGACGAAAAAATGAGAGGGAATGGAACGGTGCCTTTGGTACCATTCCACAATTTTTGACAGTGGTGAAAACTGAAAACTATAACATGACCTCTGTTTGTGTCTTTGCAGTGGAGGCCCATTTTAAACACAAGCCTTGAAGACTGCAGGAAGCCACGACTCAGCTGGACCGGCCCAGTCTCATTCAGATCAAGAGACAATCCCAATGTGTGACCACAGACCATGGCGGGAGGTGTTGGGGTGGGGTTTTGGGGGACATGAGGGGGTTGTGGGATGGTGAGGAGAAAGAGACAGAGGGACACAAGCCTATCTCTGTGTGGAAAACTTGAACTCTAATGTGACTGAAGGCCCATCATGGGGTGAAACGTTGGTGATCAGAGGCCAAAGGGTAGATGATGTCATCACTATTGCGCCTACCAACCTTGTGCTATACATTATCATCCTTCCCTTCCTCAGCCGTGTGGACCCTTTCCCTGCAATGACCTTCCCCTCTCTCAGATTTCGTCTCGTGAATGGTTCATTCTACCTGTAATCTAATGTAATTATGTAATCTAGAGTCATTTCACTGGTTGCTTAACAAAGACAATGCATTGTTAATTTATTGAATGTACAGTTTTGATGACAGTGGCTTACCGTGTGTGTGTGTGGAATCGTGACGTTTTTGTTGAGGACGCTGTGAGGTTGAACCTCTGGCACTGAGACCCTGTTAAACCTGAACCTACAAAGTGCTGTTACCAACAAATATGCATAAAAACACACACACACATACAAACTCTCAGTGATCACCGTAGCTGTTAACGTAGCTGGAGGTGGCTGATCTGCATCCAGACAGGGTTCTTTTACAACCTCAATCTGACAGCTGTTCTCTTATTTATTTGTACTATTGAACATACTGAGTCATCGTAGACAGTTATTGCTGCTTTAAAGGATTGTAATGTGACAGGATTGTAATTTATATAACACTTATACAGCTGTTTTATTTACGTTTTTGCATCTTGTTTTAAAGACACATTGTTGTGTTGACCCTGAAATCACAGTGATAGTTTGTTTCATTATGAAAATCTTAACATGAATACAGATGAAGCTGAAATCAAGTGGCGGTTTTTAATTTGTCCTCATTCTTTAAGACATTTCAGTGTGTTTGGGATGACGTACTGTTCAAATATCCAACTCAAGGTAGGTTCATTAAAGGATAATTCCAGTTGATTGGGTCTAATTTTCATACTTTTTGCGCTCATTCCTTTTGGAAAAGTTCATTTTAACCAAGACTTTGTTGCAGCGAAGTCATTCCTAGATCTCAGCAATTAATTTAGTTTATCAACCAAGCTGAAATAAACCAGAATTATCTTTGAAATCCTCTAAGAACTTCCGATTTTTGTGAGCATGAGCACAGAACAGGTAATGCTACAATGAAAGTGCAGTTACACCCATTTATCCAGCAGATGGAGCTCTTCTGTTACTTTTAAATGTAGTTTTTCAGCTGTTGTGAGAACGGATATCTTGGTTAAGATTAAGAATAAATTCATGGTTTGGTTAACATGAAAAGGAACTGCTCCCATTGCAGTTTTTCACCAGACAATGGTGATGCAAACAGGTGACAAAAGACTTTCTTGGCCAAGTTTAGATGAAAAGTTGACACCAATTATGTCTGTGCTACACTGATTGTGCTCTTATAACATTGTCAGACCCACAATGAAAAATAAAAAAGTATAAAAATCCATGCTGCAGAACCAGAGACATCATTGGTGTTTTCTACATCGTCTTTTGTGTCAAAATCTGGCACCTACATTAGGTGAGAGTTATGTCTATGTTCCAAGTGGCTAGTGTAGCCTTGAGTTGCTAGCCTCAAGCAGAGATGAGAGGGAGCGGGTCTGGGAAGCTCACTTCCTACTGACTTTACACCCCTAACTTTTAGTCTTCAGCTACAACTGATGCTGCTCATTCAATTCCTCACAGCTCCCTGCAGAACCACAACATTATACAACATATTTTTCTGCAGTAGAACTCCCCAAGACCTGTAAACAGACTTTGATGTGTAAAATAGGTGCACTTTAAGTCTAGAGTTTGAGCCAGGAGGCGATTAGCTTAGCATAAAGACTGAAAATATGGGGGGAAAGCTAGCCTGGCTCTTTACAGAAGTTTGTAGCCTAACTCCTTAAAACCATAACCTGCATTTTTCATGTAACATTTCTGTTTGTTTGCAGACTAAAGACAAATTATGTATTAACTAGTGAGATTTGGAGGTGTTGGTAGGTGTATCTAAGAGACAAGCTAATGGCCTTCTAGCTCTAGCTCCATATGTACCACAGACATGGGAGTGAATTTGATCTTCTAATGCAGTGGTTCTCAACCAAGGGCACCTTAAGGGAGTTCCAGGGATCCCAAGAAAAATGGGACAAAGTTTATTTTTGCCATTTAATTAACTATAGAAGTGAAACCAGTGTGTGTTCCCTTGCCTCCTCTCTCCTCCAGTGCCCCAGATAATGTTCCTCCTCCACCATCATGGATGATCTTTCAACCCCTTAAATACACCTCAAGGAGAGGAGGTAAGGGAGGAGCTTAGAGTAAGGACACACTGATGTATCCTGCATGTTTCTTCCTCACATCTCTCTCACATCCTTGTTAGAGGGGGCTAGACAAGAGTGAGTGAAGTGAGGAGACACACAAGCATATGGCAGGGGTCGGCAACCTTTACAAGCAAAGAGACATTTTTGACCAGAAATAATTTTGAAAAATCTGTCTGTAGCCACAAAACATTTTTGAGTCTTATTATGAAGGTAACACAGCCTATTAAGTCTAAATTAGCCCATTAACATTACTGATAGGTCTAAATCAGCTTTCATCAATATGTTTTACCTCAAGTTGGCCACTCTGCAGTGTGGGATACATATAATTACTTGGAATTTTGACTTTGCAGAGTTGGTGGTGAAAGCAAATGTCCATGCAGTATCAAATTCTCTATTCTCCTCCGAGACTTTTTATTTTTTTGGATTTGGAATCCATAGCTAGCTTATCAGTTAAACTAACAGCATAACTAATTTATTTAGGCCTACAACAATGATAAATGAAAATTCAAATCTTAAACAAAAACAGCAACTGTTTTCTTTTTTTTTTGTCAAAGCCACAGGGAGCCACTAAAGAAGGACTTAAGAGCCGCATGTGGCTCCAGAGCCACAGGTTGCCTTCCGTCAGTCTGGTCTCCGTCATAACTAACAACCAAAATCTTGTCAGATGGAGGTCCCTAAGGCAAAATTTTATCAAGTCAGTGACCTAATGTGTACTAATTTAGGGTTCTTGACACGAAAAAGGTTATGAACCAGTGTTCTCAAACTCTCAGCAAAGCGCAAAAATTATTATTTCCCAACATGCTGAACTATTCCTTTGATGGAGGAGAAAAACTTGAATAATTTAGTGAAGACATAATAAATGTGGATGTTTCCACACAAGGCAGAAGGGTCACTGAACTGCAACACTCACTGCAGAAGGTGCAGTAGCCTATGCCAGTATTTTCCTCTTTGTTAATGCCTAATGCTGTTCACCAGTAGTGGATGAAGTAGTAGCAGGAATAGAAGTACAGATGGAAATACCAAGTAAAGTACAAGTACTGCAAAATTGTAGGCTACTGATGTACAGTAACTGAGTAAATGCACTTAGCCATATTCCACCCCTGCTGTTCACTTACTCAATATCACAGTAGATGGCGCTCATCAGTCACCTGTAGGAGGACATCATCATGTGTAAGGCTGCACACTCAGAGTCAGATGAAGTGTGAACTGGTGTAAATGTCACCTGATGATCTCGCCACTCTTACACAAACTTCCACATACACGCACACTGGCTCCAGGGCATTACGGAATTATGGGTAAATCAATGTTGCTTCTGTCTGGCCGTCATGTTGTCGTTGGCAACCAGGTTGTCATGGTAAACTGCTCAGACAGTGAGCCACTGAGCTGCTGCAGGCAGGTCGAACCCACACAGGAAGTGTTTGAAAGCGGGGTGGGATGTCATCTCAGCAGCCACCGTGTTTGTCCTGAAGATAATATGGTCGGTGAGGTGCTGGCACCAAAAGCAAACATTTATTAATAGTAAAGCTGCTGCTTCAGTACACAGCAGTTTGACCAGAATATTATAGGAATATTTTCATTTTTGGTTGTGTCTATGTTGGGGATTACATGTTCTTATGAGCTTTTTAAGTCTAGGACTAGCTCTTTGAAACTCTTTAGATAAGTCAATAAAAAACATATTAGAGTCAGACTAGATGACAATAAGTCAGAGCCTTTTTCTGTGTCATAAGTCAAAAGCATTTCATTCACAGTGCATGGAAAACCCAATCCAGCTGTCCTGTCCATCAGGCCCTGCAGCCGACACTGTAGCCAGAGCTGGGACTGTGAAATTAGCTAATCTCCTCACAGGAAACCCAGCAGGAGCAGCTGTTGGACTGGAAACAAACTGGAAATGCAGTAGGAGAGAGGAACAGGTCAGCAGTGAGAGCAACAATATCAGATGTGTTTCTGTTAAGTGTTGTGACTCTGACCCTGTAATGACTGTAATGTTGTGATCTCCAGTTTCCTGATTATGCTACAGAGGCACCTTGTTGGACCTGATGTCACCTAAATGTGTGAGAAACAGTGTGAAAGAGGTCACTCGTACTGATGAACCAACAGAGTTATAACCTCAATCTGCAGCTCCCCTCGGGCTGCACCGAGCTTTATGGTTTCAGCTCATTGTTTAGATCTCAGGCCTGTCCTGCTCTCACAGCCTAGTTTCAGCTGCAGCAGGCATCTGTTTTTAGAAAAAGTACTCTTAAACTCCGCTGACCACATAGCTCCATATATACTGGATATCTAACAAACAAAATGTGTGCTCGCGAGTTCACCTTTTCAACCTAAACAGTGACGATATGTCGATGTTGTGCTCACAAATTGTTTCTGCTGCACAAAAGTGGCCTGTAAAATTAGGAATTGCAGGTCTAAGACTTATGATGAAGTTTAATTAGCTGGTAGGTGGGATATGTTTACTTTGGACAGAGCTAGACTAGCTATGTCCCAGTGCTTCTATGCTGTGTCTCAAATTGCGTACTTCTGTACACTTAATATTTTGAATGCATATGTGCGTTAACTGCAGTGCACTATGAGTACCCGGATGGTGCACTCAAAATGGTCAAGAACTTGAGTGTGGAACTATGGACACTTCTCGCCCTCAATGGTCCCCATCTTGGCTACGTAGCGGAAGGGGAGGGACCACTTTTCAAACTGGAAATAGCGGCCAAGGACTGTGCGACTGTGAATGTTGCTGCATTGTATAAATTCATGTGTTTTTTGCACTAAGCACCACTGTACTGTTGTCGGGTATAAGCCAGCAGTATGTTTATTGAGTTAATTTAGCAGTCTGTAATGATTTTGTACCGCGAACGATAATGCAAATGCTAATGCTTGTTTGCTAACTAGCTAATTTGCAGTCATCAGTTCCGGTGAGTGCACAATGGCCGTGTTTGGTTTGAGACTACCCTGTCAAAATTTGTGCACTACGCCAATAAGTATGTAGTGCACATAGTATACTACATAGAAGTGAAGTGTACTAACAGAAGTATGTGATTTGAGACACAGCACTACTCTTTATGCTAAGCTAAGCCAACAGCCTGCTAACTTTAGCTTTAGTGGACAAACATGAGAGTGGTGTCAACCTTCTCATCTAACTCTTAGCAAAAACTAAACTATAGCTTTAACAGACATATTTATGTAATCAGGCTGTAAGGAAACATTTTTGTCTCACCAAGTTAAGTAGGTGTGCATCTTTTTGCAAGTTTTTGGGTAGGACCATGTGTCTTTGATACAGGGTGAAACAGTGTGCAACAGGCTTTGAGTTTTGTTTTCTCTCTGTGGTGGGTGTGTCAGAGGTGTTACCCAGTCAGCAGCGACGTGTATATAAATAAATGTCTAGCAGATATTTACTTTTTGTACATACATTTTTTGTTTTTATTGCTTTGGCAATGTGAATGTATGTTTCCCATGCCAAAAGAGCCCTTTGAATTGGACTGAGTTAAACCTTGTGGTATTAAAAGTGCACTTATGTAACACAACCTTGTTTGCTACATTTAATTATGGCTGAACACAGCTTAGGTCTTGTATTTTCATTCTTATTTCTTGTTAAATGGGTCTACACTGATACCCTGCACTGATAAGAAGAAGACAGATGCACAGTCTCTTGGTCCCTGTGATTCAAAGCATAATGCTTCATTACTTCACATAATTCTGCCCTATAAAAGTGAAAAAAATGAATTCCTTTAAATTCAATCAAAATGCAACACAGCTGACTTTGGATGTGAAGGTGAGGGAAAAGAAACTATTTCACTCTTTAAGTGGAAAAACTGCTTTAAACCTGACACTCCCTTTTCTAAATAGGTGCAACTCACATACCAAAATGTCATTAGTGTGGAGTTTTAATGGAACGTTTCAGTGTCCAGTGCAGGTTTAAATGTCATGCCTCAGGCCCTTTCACTCAGGAGAAATTAAAAACACTGAATCTTTGTTAATATTACAAATTTCTTTCCATGGAAATGAACAAATGTAACAATGTATTGACACATAATATAAAGCTTTAGCCAACAGATAGCAGCACTGTCCTTCAGAAATCTGGTGAAAAGCTTAAGAATGAACTTGTAAGTCAACAAATCTCCAAAGTTTATCTTATAAGTCATTAAGGCAGGCTGCTGTTCTGTCCCAATCTGAGTGCAAACTTCTGGAGCATCTCCTCCTCTTCAAGGCCTGGTGAGTGTTGTATAGATTGGTTGCTCCCAGCCAGAGGGCGGACTGTGTGGAGGTGGTGCCAAGGCCAGGCTGTTGATAAGAGGTGTGGCATAAGGCCTGCGAGAGGAGTGAAAGTATGGGTACTGATACAGACTGGCAGGATAGCCGGAGAAGGCGCTGTAGAAACTGGAGCTTTGGAGGTCAGTGTATTCAGATTGGTTGGTGGAGGATGAGGAGGAAGTGGAGGAAGGGCAGATACCCGAACCGAGGGAGGTGTACTCAGGTTGTGGTGGTGGTGGAGTTGAGGAGGAGTGACCTGGGCTCATCTGCTCAGTTTTAATCTGAGGTTTTGGGCTGGTATCCTCGTGGAGCCCATCGCGACTGGAGCAAGACAGTGGCACTCCACTGAAAGTCCCACTTTTGGGTGTCCACGTGGGGACGCTATGGGAGTGAGAGTGGATGCTGGGCAGGATGAAGGATCCAGAGGTGTTGTTTTGTCCGTGGCTGGTATCTGGCGGGGTTAGAAGAGTGGAGCCGTGGCTGTTGGGAGGGAGGTACTGGTCGAACTCGTGGACGTCGAATCCGTCGATGGTGCTGATGACGTCAGTGCTGAGCTCTGAGATGTCCACGTTACTGAAGTCAATGTTCTGACGGCTGGTGGGAGGAACAGAGCCAGTGCTGCTGTCTACAGGCCGCTGGCCCTCATGTTTGTTCCCCATGTGGAGGTCGGTTTTCGGAGTAGTTGGAGGCGTTGGAGGCCCATGAGACTGACCTGAAAACCAAGGAAACACCAATCACTAGTCTCATGCTGAAGCAATAAGGTAAAAAAGGTACGTAAAAGGTGTATTTAAATTCAACATCTGGAAGGTATCTCACCTGTTCGGTCTAGATGGTAATGATGGTGCACTTCCCCTGTGCCAGCCAGCCTGGCCACCCCTGGTTCTGTTTTATACAAGCCCTGCTGATGCTGCTGTTGGACCAGTCCAGGTCTGCAGTCCCCCTGTCCAGGTTTGGTACTCTTGCGTCTCCGAGGCTGGTACTTGTAGTCTGGATAGTCTTTCTTGTGCTGCATCCTCAGCCTCTCGGCCTCCTCGACAAAGGGACGCTTCTCTGTTTCAGAGAGGAGTCTGAGGAAGAGACAAATGAGTCATTAGATTATTGAAGGTCCTTTTAAATACCAGCAGCAAGTACATTGGCTATACAAAATGTTCATTCCAAAATAGATACACACGTTGCCATATGTTCTGTGTTCAGTATCGTAAAAATAAAAGTGTTAAAATTCTGTAAAATACCCAGCTCAGTCGCCAGAAGAAAAGGTTGGCATTATACGTTTCTACAAACCATGGATACGTTACATTTGTAGAATTTGTACAGTTTCATACATGTCAGATCAATGTTTCTAAAAATGAATAGTATATGACTTGAGTTAGTCATCGGAATGTGGAGGGGATGGCACCTATTTTCCTTATTAAACAGAGGAATACATCTGTATACCTTCGAATTCTAAGTTTCTTTCTTTCGCCAAACTAAGACCAACGATAGCATAATTACCTTGTTAACTCATCGTAAAACACACTTCGTTCAAACTCATCAGAAAGAAAATAAAACTCACCAAAACCACCTTAGTCTTGTTAGCTGTTTAGTTAGGTGCCCCACTGTTCCAACAATAACCAACTATAAAGGGTGAAAGTAAACCCTTCATTCAGCAAGTAAGATGTGAAAATATGCTTTTATTCCCCGCAGCCTCTCTCTGTCATTGCTAGCTGATTGTTTACAGTCCTGTAACGTTATCCCCACCACAACTGTCGCCATGTTTGCTAGCTCAGCTGCCTGTTCCACCCATGGTTCCATCAGTTGAGACTGACCTCTGGTGGTACATGATGTGCACTACACACAATACATTCTCAATACAGCCTCTCCACATGAGTCTAATGGAAAGATGAGCATCTGTATTTTTTAAAAACCCTGGTATACCGTAATACGGTGATACCGCCCAAGCCTTGTTTGAGACCAACAAAAGTGTCTGTTTTTTAGAGAGTCGTAGCAGCGTTTTTAGCCACCATGTGTGGGTGTTTATTAGCAACCTGTAGCTGTGCTGTTTTTTTAACCAGACATTGTTGTGATTTCTGGCTAGTGCCATGAAAAGCGGTTGTTTTCCTGACCACAATCAAGTGTTTTTTGTGCCTGAACCTAACCATATGTTAACCACAGTGCTGTTGAAACATAAAGAAATAGAAAGTTTCAAAGTATCCACCAAATAATAACATACAATTGTAACACATTTATTCTGGCCATTAGGATGAAATACCAAACAGCAAATGAGAAATAGAATCGTTCCTTTAACGTCACTGAGTGACATTTTGAGCACTATGTACTCCATTACAATTCAAACAGAAATAAAGTACTTACTCCACCATCTGACAGCTATAGCTAGGAGTTACATTACAGATAAAAACTTAATAACAAAACATATAATAAGGTAATAACGTATGATGCACAGTTATTAAACCACCCAATAGTGTATAAAATAAAATTAGTCCCACCTTAACAACAGTAAAATGCTAATGAACTACAACATTATATTATAGTATAACACACAGGGGCTATTTCCTGTATCATGAGTCCTGTTACTTTTGATACTTAAAGTACATTGAGCTCATAATACTGTTGTAAGTTTATTTAAGTGACAGTTTTAGTGTAGGAGTATTTTTTATATTGTAGTACTTTTACTTTGTAAAATGTACCTCCACCACTGGCTGCATTTTGAACTGAATCAGACTGCATTAGAATAACTATTACTTAAACAGAGTTTAATTGCACATGGAGGTGAAAAAAACACAATCTCCTCTGTAAGCTTTTTGCAAGTTCTGTCCCATCAAGTTATTGTCCTGACTTTAAAGCTTTATAACTTCTGCAAGTTTTACTGCTTGTCAGCTGTCATTTTATCAGAGGGCTTGTCACAATTTAAAGAATGCTCATGTTGTGATGAAATTCACTGAAACCGGGATTTGGGTTTGGGGACACTAACTGTGGTGCTCTGCAGGTTTAGTTGCATGCAGTAGCCTATTAACTCTAACTCTTTAATTTAAATTGAGAGTTTGTATCCTCAGGACCCACCGCCACAGTTTGCCCAGCGTCTTGCTGAGCTCAGCGTTGTGCAGATGAGGATACTGGTCCGCCAACTTTCTCCGCGCTGCCTGCGCCCAAACCATGAACGCGTTCATCGGCCGTTTCACGTGGGGTTTGCTCTTCAGTCCTCTCTCTCCTTGAGTGGGCATCGGCACCAGCGACCAGTCGTAACCTTTCAGCACTTGCGACACCGCGTCGCGGATGCAGGCAGGGAAGCGCTCAGCCTCCGCGCTGCCCTCCGGTTTGTGCGTAATCCCGGGCGGGCGCGCTGCCTCCTGTGCGTCGGACCCCGCTGGAGAGGTCGGTGACTCTGAATCCGATCCATGCTGGGACATGGAGCTGTCGCTGCCTGCTGGACTGCGCGGATGCTCTGTCACGGACTTGTTCTCTTCTGTCATTCTTGGTAAAAAGTTGCAAGATGGTCCAGTTCCCTAAGTACTCTCCAGGTGCGTAATTGCGCACTGTTCTTTCGGAAGACTGTTTCACCCAGAAATCAAGTAAAATCCCAAATTTCTTGTCTTGAACTATTCCTTTCCGCGTCCTCCTCCAAAGTCAGGCAAAGTTTGACGAGCCCTTTTTTTCTTTTTAGTACTTTAACTCTGTGTAGTACTCGCACTTCTCCACCCCTCGTGTCCTATTGGCCTTTGCAAAGTTTTACTAGCAGAGTTCCTCCTAGTTGGGCATGACGAAGCAGATAATTGCTGACTGTCAGTATAACATTAACAATGAAATAAATATTTTTAAGATAATTTGGATAATAGTCAACGCAATACAAATGAGACACTTTATGGCTGGATTAGTAGTCCAGATTTAGAGGCAGAAATTAAGTAATTTACTTGGATATTTGCCTACTTTTACTAAACTAATTTTTAGAAACAAATGATATACCTTATACACTTACTTGAGTTTTAATATGCAAGAGCTCAAAATGTATCATACATTGTTTGACACGAAACTACAAGTGTATGAATAAGTACTTCAAATTAGCTCCACCTTGAGCAAGTAACGTATTATTATTATTATTATTGTTGTTGTTGTTATTGTTATTATTATTAGTAGTAGTAGTAGTAGTAGTAGTAGTATGGGTAGTAGTGGTAATATTTATAATAATAATAATAATAATTTTCCTTTTTATTACAGACCTATGATCCCAAGTTAGAGATAACGTTTCATTTTTTTCAGTTATTCTTTTATTATTTTTCTTATTTATTTAGTATTTTTTATTTCAGGTGATAATGATAATGATAATAATAATAAGTTTAATTGTTATTTATTTTTCTATGTTTTATAATAATACGTTCATTTGTTTTTTTTTTCAGACCTTTGATCCCAATTAGAGATAACATTTCAAAATTGTTTCAGTTATTCTTTTATTATTTTTCGTATTTATCTAGCATTTTATTTCAAGTTATAATAATAATAATAATAATAATAATAATAATAATTATTATTATTATTATTATAATGCATTTCCGCATGTGTTCAGTCACGTGACCGTAAGGTCCGCGAACATGGCGGCCACCGTTGACAATTCAGAGAGCTCTGTGAGGAAAAGACGTGTGGTTAGCAGTAAAACAGACACACAGCGTGCTTACAGCGGTGAAGAACATGGAGCAGAAACCAGTGAAGACACTGGGAAGGAGAAGAGACTGGAGTCGTTACAGACTGGGACTTACTGGCTCACTCGTATCGTGCTGCTGCGCTCCGTCGCCTTTATTTACTGTAAGCATGCAGACACACTGTGAGGGGTTCATCCTCACTCAGTCCTTTACACTGAGGACGTTATTTAGTTATTGACAGCTTGTTAGTTAGCTAGTCGACGTTTGGAAGAATAGCTTTGTTGTTCATATTGTCTTATTAGTGTGCTGGTGCCATGCACTGAAATTTTACTTATCTATATAGCTACATAACTTTTGGCAACTAAATATACCAAGGAAATCAGAAGTAATAATACTCATTAGGTAGCAGAATGACCAAATTCAGATTGTTATACTATTGGACGATTGTCACTGATGCATTACTGGTAAGCTGCATGTTAATATTTTAGCCTGTTGAGGTGGAGATAATGTTTTCTGCTTTACTTGTACTATACTTACATATATTATAAGCTGCTCATATGTTTATATGTGTCTATAGGTGTCAGTAAAATTTAGGGTCATAAAAAGCGCAGTATTTTCCTCTGGATTGTAGTGGAGTAGTATAAAGTAGCATTAAATGGAAATACTCAAGTAAAGTACCTCAGAATTGTACTTGAGTACAGTGCTTGTGTGTTATTTTACTGATAAAGGATGATTAGTGTTAGCATTTTTGTTAGCATGTTAGCATTCCCCCACCTCTTTTTGGGGTATTCCTGTGCTCCCTGCCCAGCTGGAAGATGCAAATCCGAGCACAGTGTCCTGGGTTTGTCCTGCGGTCTCCTCCCCGTCAGTAATGCTAGAGGCACCTAAAAGATAGGTAGATGGTAGATAGATAGGTGAAGGTAAACCACCTCAACTGTCACTGCAAATGAACTTCCTGTTCAGGAATCTAATTTCAGCCTCCTGTTTCCATGACCTAGATGGAATAGTTTACATTTTTGCATGGGGAAAACCACAGTCTCAGACTTGCTTGCTTTCACTTAGCAGCAAATTGTGACACTGCACGATTAGAAGTCACAGTCCAGTGGCGCCAGAACAACATCATCATCCACACAGATCTCCCTAAATTCTCCCTTAATATTGTTGATTAATATCTACCTTACATGCTGATGCAAAAATATTTCAGAGGGGAGAAATATACAGTTTCCACCTTCATGACACTTTTGATTTAAAATAAAATCAGCATTGAGCAAAAAAGCTTTAAATCCTATTTGTGATTGTGCCTTCATCCCCTTTTGTCTCCCTTTCTTTCCTGTAGTTGTGGCGTTCAGCGTTGCTTACAACCAGAACAAGCAGCTGATAGGCGAGCGCGGCCTTATGCCCTGCAAGAACTACCTCAACAGTGTGAAGCGCTATGTAGGGGGAAAGATAGGCCTGGCCGCCTTCGCATACACACCCTCCATCCTGTGGCTGTTAGACTGGAGCGACATGGACGCCAACCTGGACGGCATCGCCCTGGTGGGAATGGCACTGTCTGCGTTTGTCCTAGTGATGGGAATGGCTAATATGGTGATCATGGTTACACTGTGGGTGCTTTACCACTCCCTGGTCAATGTGGGACAGCTGTGGTGAGTCTGGGATATACAGCTGGGATAACATGTAAATGACAAACTGTTTTACAAGAGTCTTGTATGAATTTGCAAACTAAATTTTTAGATTCAGTTTTTTGAGTGTAAAATTCCATATTATCCTTGAAATTGTGTGTTTATATTCCCTTATATCATATATCATACCCACACAGCATTATCACCTAACTTTGCCACCCAGCGTTTGTTTGTTTTTTTTTAGCTCTTTGGAGCCTTTAGGTCCATTTTGGATTGGTACTGGTTACCCAGCCTGCAACTCTGCTCTCTTTAATATTGTTTCCATCTACAGAAGGCAGCTATTTCCATCAAAAAAAGCTCTCATAAACCCGCTTCTCACTAACAATAGACAAAGTTAACATCAAGCTGGTGGCAGCTAAAGAGCCAGATATTTTTCTTAGGAGTTGGTGGAGACCAAAAACAGAGCTAAAGAAAAGGAGTGGATATTGGACACACGTTCCATTAGGTAGACATAAACACAACTCCAAATAATGCTTATTTTGTCTCTATGTCTGCTGAATAAGTAAACAGGCAGTTTGCGCTTATTCCTATGTCCCCAAGAGGCCAAAAAATTTAAATATCGCAGCTTTAAATCTCAGTTTCTGTCAGATTTATTTAATTCTAAGTATTTCATTATATCCCTTGGTTAAATGCATCAAGGAGTATATCAATGTTTTGATTTATACCCAATCTTAGGTTCCTTCGACACTCAGTCTGACAACAATTTAGCCTCTGAGGGCAACGGCAGTGGATAACTAATATGTGGGCCAAGACGTCCTCTTTCCTGCAGCGGTCCATGTTTACAATCTGATTAGCAACTTGAGACACAAGAATGGTGTTGAACTTGAGAGACGACGTATACAACCAGACTGTTTGACAGGTATTCAGCTAATAAAGCTAAAATCGTCATCAGACTGTAGCCAGTGGGTTCGGAAAATTCCATTTTGGCCGGAGTGATCCACCTTTTTTAGCTCTCCACGCAGACTGTTTACCTACATGCAACCAAAGCTCGCTCAGACCTGATTGGTCAATACTACTTGAACTACAAACAGAAACCAGAACATTTGTGTAACCAAAATCTCATCCCATTGCTTGCAGATTCTGCGTACATATGCACATATCTGTTTATAGAGATGAATGTATACCAGACACTCTTTAATGCACTGACCATACATTTTAAAAGTGACTGCTTACAACCTTGTTATCTTCTGCTAGAAAATGTGAACACAACTCCTATTGGAAGTATTAAAAAAAGTTGCTTTAATGCCCCAAATGAATAAGAATATTCTTGACAGAAACTTTAAAACTACTTTATAGGGTTGTACTTAATAGTCGGTGTTGTATTTTTAGCTCGTTCTGCTGCCCCCAAGTGGCACAAAAACAATTACTGCAGCTTTAAATTTATTAAAAAAAATGTAGGTAATTGTAGCTATTACTGTCTACTCCTTCAGTTTTAATGTAAAATAATGCACCATATTTATAATACTTTCTAATACTGAGGTTAATTTATTTTTTTGTCTCTTTCCAGGTACTCCTTCGGTAAGTGAACTCCACCATCAGCACCAGTTTCATCCTTGTTCCTCCACATGAAATAGAGGATTTGACGCAAAGCATTTATGTGAGACACTCAGGTTTGGATACCATCTTTGTTTATTTACAGTGAAACCAATGTGGTAAAGCCCCTCAAACCACACGTGATCTCTTTGGACACATCTGATGCATGCATGTAGATATTCAGATGGATGTGTTTAGAGTAGAAATGGACATGTTTTCACCAAAGAGATATCCATAATTTCATTTAATTAAGGAGGGTTAAGATAGACGCCCAGTATGATTCTAGTGGGAATTGATCTCTGTGCAGCTGTAGAGTTTAATACAGTTCAATCACTGCACATATGAGTCTTACTCCAAGCTTTCTCTCTCTCTTCTCTTTCTCTTGTTTCCCAAGTTGTTTACAGCCAGTTATTGGGTTTAAACACAGTTATTGACAGAATGAAGCTTTACTGACGTGCCATAAGTTGCCTCCTTACTCAGTGAACCCAGTAAACTGTCACAAACGTAATAATGAAGAGGGAGGACGGAAAGGAAAGAAAAAAAGAAAATATAAATAGGAGGTTGTATGTAGGGCTCCGGCCCAGATAAGTGGCGAGGTCAGTGGCAGCTCTGTGATTGGTTAATGACACTTTGTCAGTCAGAGACGCCAGGCCAGTGTCTGTGGTTTGGAGTTGTGGCTTCTGTTTCTCTTTTTTTAAAAACTTTTTTTCTTTTTCTCTCACTCTCACTGTCTTTCTCCCTCACTCTTTATTTTCTTTTGGGCCTATTATCACCCTGTAGCTGACAGTGCAGCTTCCAGTCTGCAGAATAAGCTCCTCCGATTGTTCCCAAGTCTAGACTTAAAACCGGAGGCTTGTTAGGGGCATTAGTCTCTGGGATAGCATGCGTATTAATGATAATCAAATCACATTCTCTTTTAATACACAATCTTTACACAAGGTTCCTACTCTCTTATTCTGGAGCTTTTGACCATATAACATGGTCTTCACTGGCAGACCATGAGCTTTCCTCACTTGTCATCAACCTGCAGATTTCAAAACTCTCCTTACTTCTAATCACTTTGAGTGCGTTTTTTATCCAAGCTAGCAGCATGGCTCTAGGGACAGTCTGAAGTGAAGTGGTGGATCTCTTTGCTTCAGACTGAAATATTTCAACAACTCTTGGAATGATTGCAGTGCAATTTTATGCAGACGTTAATGGTCCCCAGAGGATGAAGCCTACTTACTAAAGTTTCCATTTAGTGCCACCAGTAGGTCAAAGTTTTCACTTATCCCTGTGAAATATCTTAACATCTACTATAAGTGGTGCAAAGGATACAGGATGTTTTCTAATGACCTGGGTGATTCCCTCACTTTTCCTGTAGAGCAGTGGTTCTCCAACTTTTTACACACAAGGCCGCCAACTCTCACAGCCCCTCCTCAGGTGCTGTGGAGACTGGGGCTGCATAGGTAGCCACTAGCACCTGTGCTTGGTTGATTTCAAAGATGTAAAATAGGGCTGCTAGAAATATTCATCTCCTGAGCCGCACTTCTCTCGTTCCTGTTTGGAGCCACTATGGAAGGGTTTTTGAACCATTCATTTGACCTCCGCCTACTATCTTGCCATCACATTTTAGCTCAGAACTTATTGTGGACATGTACACGCTATGTTCTTGAACGTTACAGTGTAGCAGGCTGATATCGCAACAGAAATATTACAGGAAAAGCAAAACTTATTTTGAATGTTCATGGATCAAATAGTTTAGCAGTGTTAGTTCAAACAAATGTAGTTTTTTGATGGCCACAGTGGTAAACATACCACTGTTTGAGAATGAGTGCTCTAGAACCACAAAAGGTGTTGATGTTTGTTGTTTTAAAGGGATAGTTCAGATTTTTTGAAGTTGGGTTGTGTGGAGTACTTATCCATAGGCAGTATGTTTCAAACAGTAGATTTCAGCCAGCACGTCCCTGGTTTGGAGAAGCAAGGTGGAGTTCCACATGGAAGTTAATCAATCTACTGCTGTAGAGGGGGCCAGCAACAAAATGTATTTTAGCCACCTAAAAAAAGTCCCACCTAAAAAAAATCATTATCAGTTTTAGTGTATGTATATGTATGTATGTATGTATGTATATATATATATATATATATAGACAGTGGTCTCAACTTGAAAATGAAGCCCTTATATTGTTCTCTTCAAAGCCAGACTCCATTGAGAAAAACAGCGATTTAACATTGCTGATTACAAGAGCTGCTGTTCTACCACTGCCTCAATCTTTTAGTTTATTTGTGTTATTGTGTGACTTTGGCGTTTAAAAGGGTTACTTCGGATTCACCAAAGTCACATCGTGACATAAACTAACTAACTGATCAAAGCAGCAGTAGACCAGCACCTTTCATGGTCAGCAAGCTAAAATTACCCTTTTTTCAATGGATTCTGGTGACTTTGACGAGAGCATAGATGGAGAGCTGAAGCAGTTATTGTTTTTCCCGTGGAAACAGGCGATCTGAAGGAAAGGTAAAGCAATGAAAATGATATCAATATAGTGTACACTTAAACTGATATAGATTTTTTAGGTGGGACTATTTAGATTAGATTTTGTTGCTGACCCCCCTGCACAGCAGTACATTGCTTATCTTTCGTGTCAGAGCCTGCTTCTCCAAACTGGGGGCATACAGACTGACATCTACTGTGTGCAATACAATGACTATGGCTAAACACTTCACACAACCCAACCTCAAAAAATTCAAACTATCCCTTTAAGTGAAATGTCTCAACGATTGCTGTGCACATTCATGCCCCCATCAGGATGACTTGTAAAAACTTTACAAATATTAACATGCTTACATGCTAAATTAAGATGGTGAACACGGAAAACATACAAACTAAACATCAGCATGTCCATCATAACTACATGTATCTTAGCATTGTGCCTGTGTCTTTTGATAATGATCATGTGTCAGCAGTAATCATCATTGCAAGCATGTTATCATACTGACATGAGCATTTAGCTCAAAGTAAATATGGTAAAAAATAAGCTTGTAGCATGTTAGAAGGGATTAACTGCTTTCAGCAGCACCAAGCAAAGTTTCTGACAGGTCTTTCCATCTCTGCGTATTATAGACTTATCCTGTTTACTTATATTACATCATATTCTAGTGTGAGCTATGAAGAACTAATAGCTGCCAAACAATGTCTGTGGTTTAGCTTGATTAGCTGTGTGCAGCCTGTAGCATTAACCATTGCATGCTCTATGTTACAGAAGCTCTTTTTATAAATGACACCCTGATCATTTATCCAGGTTGGGAGAGTCAGCTGTTGGAGACAGGATTTCTGGCCATTTTCCTGTGTCCGGTATGGACTCTGTCCCAGGTCCCCCGCCGCTGTCCCCCCTCCCTCATCAGCATCTGGACCTTCAGATGGCTCATTGTTCGCATCATGCTCGGAGCTGTGAGTAAAACATTTTTACAAATACATACAGGGGTTTGTTGCATCTCTCGGACCACCGAAACAAGAGAGCACAACTGCTTTGACTGAAAAACAACAAAAAATAGCGGTGAAATCATTTTTGGGTGGATTTTTGCATGTAACGTCTCGTAGCGGCTGTTTGACTTGTCATACACGATAAAATGTCTTACTCCTGAAACCCATTCACTGCCACCCGCACCTTGACTAACACATTTCCTGTTGGGAGACCCTGATGATATTCCTGTCTAGGAGGAAGCATGTCTTGTAAATTCAAACGGAAAGGCATGCACTCTAAACACACATACCACATACTGTACACACACACACACACACACACACACACACACACACACCTACCTGAATACATCCAGCATGCCAGTATAGAGGGAAAAAAAACATTTTTGCAACAGTATAATTTTCTGGGATATTCCAGTGTTAGTTCTTCTGATTTTAGATCGTTACTTAAACACAGCCAGTATTTGGAAATCCAACCCAAATATATGGTCGGCTAAACAACATGTCTGGTTGTTTGACAGTTTCCATGGTGAATTTTAGACCACCAACTCGGTGTTGTCTGCCAATCACTGCACTTACCAGAAATCCACTGGGGTTTTTCCTATTAGGACCGTGAAGAGAGCTGGGTCGCCCCGTTTGACTGTTAAGACTCACACGCAGCTGTAAAGACCTTTCATTCAGCAATATGCAAAGTCACTACAAACTCATCAGCACCTTCTGTTACAGATTTGGTGATTGCAGAGATGTAATTTAATTACAGTATGTTCAACTCCATTTACGTCCTGAACATACGTGTAAGTTAGTGGTTAACAAAAATGATGAATTTTATGATTTATGAAAGGGTTTATGATTTTTGGCTCACGACATAATATTTTTGTTACCAGAAATATTCAGCACATTTTGGAACAGAACTCTTGATACTACAAGTGTACATATCACTGCATGTATCTGGTGTTTAAATGCAATAAGAAGCTCAGAAATTCAATTAGACATAAAAGGCAGAGAGCAGAAAATGACACCATGCTCCCTTTATGTGGCTAGAAAGTCCAGCCACATGTGCATGCTAGTACATTTGAGTCCCAGTGTGTGTATTCTACTGGCTAGCTGCGCTATATGGTGGTTACCGCTGATAATGCTGTTCCGATGTTGTTCTAGCATTGTTGCGCAAGCCTCACACCTATCCTCTGGTCTTCCCTTGGGTTAACACCATTAGCTCTGTCAGCACTGGCGCTGTTGTTAGCGCTGTTTGCGCTACTAGCACCATTAGCTGCTAGCTGCTGTCCCAGCCACCTTCATGCTGAGAGCCATGTGCACAGAATGCCGGCTGAGACTTTGAATTATAGATATGTTCTGAATGTTGTGTATAGCTCCTTTAACAGTTGCTAGAAGCTGTTATTATGGTTATTAGGTTATTAATGTACATGCTGTGCAACAACAGATCGACTGACAGAACATGAACGTGTGACTAATTGAATAATTGACAATTGTATTAGTCCATTTTCAGACACAAATATCATGATGGTGATTCCAGCTTCCTTAATGTCAAAATGTGCTGCTTATTCTTCTTATTGGCCAAAACAAGACATTTAACGACAACAGGGTTAGGTAATTGTGATGGCCATTTTGTATTTTTCTTGTGTTTTGGAAACTATTAATCGGTTAATTGAAAGAATAATCGCTAAGAAAAATAATATTTTGTCGCAGCCCTAGTGCATATGTTGGCTTTTCCATTCTGCTTGTGTTTTTTTTTTATTTTTGAATGTTTGCGTGGGTTAATCTCCTGCAGTGACATTAGCAGAAGGTGTTTGCGACACCCTGTCAGACTGTATGCAAAGTATTTCAAGAAGTCACCATAAAATATTGTGAAATATGCTGAACAGATCACACTCAGCCCAATTGGATCAGTTGATTAGATCAAGGTGATAATCCCGATCTGGGATTTTCACAATGAGATTTTCATTTTTTTTGTAATAACGCTGCATTCGAGTGCTGGCAAGAATGTCAGACATCCAGAACTTTGAAAGCTGGGCACTTTGTCAGGAAATCAAATCCAGACGTCGAACAATAAACAAAGAAAACAAAATGTCGCAGAGGCTGCGATTTTCTCCCAGCTACTCAACTGCATGTCTTTTCCTCACTTTTCAACTTTCATTCAGATGTGTAATGAATATTCCTGGAAATACATTTGCACATACTTCACAGAGACAAATCCATTACAGATTACATAATAATATGGTGAGAGAGCTCAAGAAACTGTGAAGAGCAAAGACTCCGTCACAGGGACTGTGTTTGTGTAGCAGCTCGGCAGTGTTAAGTACAGTCCAGCCTCTGCCACAGTCCCTCAGTGTTTGATCCACCCTGGTCACAGCCATTTATCGGTCTGTCAGCCTGTGGCTCACCACTGCTCTGTGACTGCTATACAGTTTCTTCTCGTGAGGACGTCATGGCTTAGCACATACTTCAAAGGACCTCTCAGCTGTAGAGAATGAGTGGGAGATGGGATGTATGAGCCCACCCATCATGTTTCTTGTGTGTATTTTCACAGCATGATTACAAAAAGTCCCAATTGTCACACTCTGGGTACATGCGTTAATCCGTGATGGTGGCATCTGTCACATCAATGAGGGAAAATATTTTCTCTGCATTAAAATGGTTATCTTATATCTATACTTGAGATGGGCTGATGTGCTTTTATACGACCATTACTGATGTTGCATTTTCCCCCTTTTACTCTTCTACCAACTGTTGCATCAATTCAAGACAAACACTTTCTTAAAAATGAACATGAATGAGAGTGTGTGGGCCTAAATATGAATCAAATATGCTCTTGTTTCCGTGGTTACCTTTGATAAAAACAACAGAATCTGCTAAGATGGATAAAGCACCGCTTCACAGGGGAGGTAATTACAGCAAGCAAAGCTTCAACACGCACTAACGGCACAGCAGGTTGGCCAAACACAATCAGGTCCAACATATGGCCGCCAAAATAAGAGAAATGTCAAATGACCATATGTTATGCTAAACAAGAGTGCTCACATACACTGTAGAATATTTGCTAATTAATTGATTAATTACTCATATTAGTTTCTGCATTAGCATAGCTGGATGTGTTTAATATATCATGCAAATTGTGCTGGGACATTAAGCAGCTAGTGTGATTTGTGCTGCAGCTGCTTGTTTACATCAGCAGCCTGCGCGGGTAATCAGCCGGTAAGCTACAAAAAGGTGTCGCTAATGTGATCTGATAGACCATGAAATACAGTAAATATTCTGAAGCGCAATTAGCCATGTTTACCTAAGGGAGAAAAAGAAAAAGCTGTACTTTTTAGTGCTGATTGATACACAGCCTTATAGCCCGTTTTATCTTTAGTTTCCTTAAAAATAAATCAGCTTTAGGCTTAATGACCTCGGTGTAGTCATAGCCCTGTAAAATCTGGCTATGCTATTTAATTACAGTGCAAGGGTGACACATTTAGAGTGTTTGTTTACAGTTGCCTTGGTCTCTTGCATTGGTCCACATCTCTGTAGTTCTTCATCTTTGTGAAGGCTTTTAGCCTCTCAAATTGGCCCTGCAGCCTCCGATGACTCAGACTAGTCAAAGGGATTTACAGCGAGTTAATGGTTCTCCAGTAGGGCCCAGACAAAATATCAGTGTGGAGGTATTTTGTCTACCTTTGCTAGTCAAGTCCCCAGGAACAGCGCCAGGCTTTGAAGCTTTTTGTAGTGGCAAAACAGTGGTATTTCAACTTTCAGGTCTGTCACATGATGCCATGGGGCCCAAAAGACTTTTTTTCCATAGACTTGAAGTGTGAAAGAGACATTTGTAAATAAGTGGATGCTTTTTTTTTTAAGTGACATTACTACTGGAAAATGACTTATTACCCTGTCAGGGTTTGATCAATCAGTTAACATTTTGAAAGTCTTGAGGAGCCATATGATTAAACATTGTATCCAGTTCCCATTATACATCCATGGTAGCCCTCTTGTCTTTGTACCAGGGATTAATTTTTAATATGGCACCAAAATATTTAAAACATGCAAAATCAACCACCTTTCCTTGCTAGCAGTTTACTGATAGCATAGCATTTCCTAAGAGAAAAAACATTTTAGGGAATATGCTTGTGGTCTTCTATAATATAAGTAATAAGAATAATATATAATAAGAAGATAGATATCAATTAGTCTTTGTTCATCTGGTACAGAGATATGTTGAGAACATGATTAGCATTGTTGTTACCTTAGCGCAAAGATTGGAAGCAGGGGGAACTTCGAGCCTTGTTGTTGTCATTAACACCTTTGTAGGCAAGCAGGCTAGACACTTGGTGTTGTTCATTGTAGAGTTTCTACAGTGCGAACCACTGTGAGTATTTTAGCATTCATTTTTCCTTAATGAGAGTCCGCTAGCTGAACCATGTTGTTGTAAAGGATCCACGGTGAACGAGGAATTCAAAAACAGAGAAAATTCTTGGTGAATGGAAGTCATGAGGGGCCACATTTAACAACGGCAAAACTAGATCAAAACCTGTTTCCAAACTCTCACGGTGCAGTATGATCCAAGTCTCATTTATCCAGTTACATGCTCAGTACTTCCCAAACAGACAGCCCTCTGTGGCAGGAAACTGAACTAAGGGTAAAACTTTCTTCATCTTACCTGACTGAACATAGGAGTTGCTGGCCTACCCCTGCCTCAAATAGTTAGTTAGTTTGTGTTCATGTGTGACTCTGGTGTTTTAAAGGGTTAGTTCAGATTTTAAAAAGTCACACAGTAGCAGCAACAATACTGCCACAGCGGTAGACCAGCAGCTCCCATGTTCAGGGAGGTAAAATGGCTGTTTGTCAATGTACAGTAGTCTGGCCTTTGATAATAGCCTCACTTTCAGTTCTGTTTTGAATACAAAGATTTAGTGAAAATGCATGTGCTTCAGAAATAATTAGCACATGACTGGATAAATGCGACTTGGATTATA